TTTCCCTCATCCCGAATTTACCGTTTGTGCCACTCTGGTTATGATCTTTTCCTGTCCCCGGAACTCCGAGAGCCGCCGCCGCTCCTCCTCCGCTCTCGGTTTCCCCCGCATCCGCTTCTTCCGATTCCGGAGACTGCGTTGAACCTTCAAGACGCTGAACGCTGATTTGTGATTTCGTTTCCTGATCTTTGACCGCAGATTCGTATTTTTCTGTGTGATATTATGCCGGTGAACTCGAAGAGCTGTGGCCGGAGAGGTGCCGCGGAGGCGGAGAGGAGCCGTCGTGGTAAGTTGCCGGAGAAATCGTTGTCCTTCCATGGTAAGTTCGCTATCCCTTCGCCATCTGCCACGGAGCTCCGGCGGCCGAAGACGATGCCAGAGTTGCTGTCCAAAGGAGAAAGCGTCGGAGCTGTGGCTCTGCCGCCGCCGGCTCTGCGTCTGACGAAGCTTCTGCTCAACGTGACGGTCCAGGGGAGTCCAGGCGCCGTTCAGATAATCATATCGCCAGACGCCACCGTCGGCGACCTGATCTCTACCGCCGTCCGTCAGTACGTCAAGGAAGGTCGCCGGCCGTTCTTGCAGGCGTCGGAGCCGTCGCGTTTCGACCTCCATTACTCGCAGTTCAGCCTCGAAAGTAATCCCTCCCCCCTAAACCGATTTTTGTTTCAGTTTTTTTTTTTGGAATTTCGCAGATGAATTTGAACCGTTCGTTCGTTCGATGAGATCTCTTGATTGGATCAGACTGTGCTGAAATTTTGGTATTTTTTTCCGGTAGGTATTGAGAGAGAGGAGAAGCTGATATCGTTGGGATCAAGGAACTTTTTCCTATGTTTTGGAAACCCTCCGGCGGCGGAGGACGGCGGAGGACGCGGTGGTGCGGCGGCGTCGTGTTCGAAGGAGGCGGAGAAGGTGACGACGAAGACTGGATTTCAGTGGCTCAAGTTCATGGGCTTCTAGGATTCAACAGTGGGGCCCATAAAATTTACTTTTTCTTTATTCAGAAAATGTTTTTTTTTTCAAAAGAAGAAAAAGATGATGAATTAGAAATGGAAAACAAAAATGGATCCCCCCCTTTAGCAGGTTTTACTATAGGAATTCGTCACGAGTTAGATAATTTTTGGTTGTTGAATGTTATTATGCTCTTATACATTCTGTGCATATCTATATAGAAATGAATAATTTCTTAGTTGTACATAATTTTACTCTATTTACCATTAACTTGTCTGTTTATAAAACAAAATGAATCACCAACGCTGTTGAAAATAAGTGAACTATCACAATGCCCCAAAGGCTAATATTTGAAATGATTGGACTAATGGGTTCAAATAATATAAATTCCAATTTAACTATGCTCTAATATGAATATGAGTACTTATATATATATGTATGTATGTATGGAAGGGCATTGTGAAACAATTAGCTAAATTTCGGATCACGAGGAAAAGGGAAACAAAGCCACGCCGGCAACTGCGACCGAAAAGGACAGACTATTGTGAAGAAAGAGGGCCAAACGTGTTTGATACATTAAAAGAACAATTTCGATTCCTGTAACGGATGCCCCCCAACCTTATCCCAAAAGCTCATCCTCCTCATACTAACCAACAATCAATAAATAAAAATAAAATAAAATAAAAATTGTAACGCCCCAATTTTCTTTCTTTCAATTCTATCCTAAAATTATTAAAATAATAAATAACATATTGTATCATTTTGTTTTCACGTTCATATCATGTGTACTTTTATGATGTTGGACTCGAATCTAAACATTTAAGAAGAAATGATACAATAATTCTTATTTGAATTCTATTAGTATTAGAGTTAGAATTCTCGAACTCGATTAGAGTCTAAGAATTATTTACAAATAAATCATTTTTAGTGTTAATATTCGGATAATGGTATATATGATATTAATATAATATAACATTTTTTTATGGTACATTCACAAGCAATGAATAAACTAGTGAAAGCAAATTAGTTTCGGGCTACGAATATTTAGGCATGTTTTTTTTTTTCCAATCATTCATTATTTTGCTAGCTTTTTGAAAAAGTTGAACCCTAACATCCTAAATTCGGATCTCCTATCCAACACCCATTTTAGACGAATTTATAAGTACCAACGATTTAAAATGACATGCTTGTATACAACATAGAGCTCTATACATATTTATCAACTATTATTTTTACTATAATATATACATATATATATAATAATAATAATAATAATAATAAAAACTGAAAATCGGAGTATTTAAAAGTCATAAAATCTTGATTGCAAATAGAATCTTCGGTTCGATGATTCCTCCAATAATCATGGGAATAAATCTTCATAATCATGGGAATAAATCGTAAGCATCTATTCCATATGGGTTTAGCATATCATATAATATTAGCGATTTTGTTTTGTTGAAATATTATTATTTCGATTTGTCATTCTCACATGATATTATTTAAGTACAATAATTGTGGTTAGGAATCTTGTGTGGCCTCAATGAGTATGACAATGGCATCTTTTATTTCTATTTTCAATTTGTTTTCGTCGTACAAATCAAACTTAACTTCCAACAAAATACTATATATATATATATATATGTATATTTGTTCACATGTTTTGCACTATTTGGATACATAAGCTAACAAAACACAATTAAAACCATTGATACCCCACTAAACAAATTGCAAGTTGAAACACATGATTCTATATAGTGGATGTGGTGGTAAGAGCTCCATCATTAAAACAGAGAGTGTTTGATTTATCAAAATTTCCAAATTAAATTTTTGGAACCGAATTGCAAAATACGTTCCTTTTGGGTAATATACACACACATATATATATATATAATACAAATTAAAAAATAAAAATCCGTGTTGCAGTAGTATTGTGCTTTCGGATGTTATACATTGTCCGGCGAAATAGGGACCATTTAGCATAGCATTTATATATATATCAAAAGTGGAAAAAAATACGCATTTAATTGAAGTTCTAATTAAAGGTTAAATAGATCAAATGGTGTATAAAATTATAGGGTGTATATTTGACTTTTTATATCAAAAGTAAATGGAATAGAACCAAATAATTCTATTTGAATAGATGTAATTTTTTAAAATAAAATTAGAATCAAATACAAAAAATTAATTTGAAACGGAATTATTTAAACCATTAGTATTTTTCTAAATAAAAACCGAATGTCGTAGTCATAAGTGTATTTTTGAAGGAAAAAAAAAAGAGACTTCCGGAGTATTTTGTCTAGATATCGCATTGGGCCCACAGAGTATGGAGATCAATAATGTGGGCCTATTTATAAGGCCCATTATGGGAGCCCAATAATAGTTTACCATCGAAATGGAGAAGAGAAGTTGCAAAACCAAACCCTACGGGAGAGAACGGAGAGAGGCGCCGAATCCGAACCTTATAAATGTTCCCTCCAAATCTCTCCCCCTTCTATTCAAAATCCCTGAACCCTAATTCTCACCCCCTAAACCTAGCACCCCCTGCTGCATCCTCTTCCTTGCCTGCTATGGAGTTTTGGGGTATGGTCTCTATGCTTTTTCTATATCGCTTCCTGTTTGACTCTGTATTTGGAGGATATCGTTGAATAATATTTCATGTTCATCTTTTTTTTTACTGCGTAGAGTTTTGGAATTACTTCTCGTTGCCGAACTCATAGTCTCATATAGTTTTATGATGATAGTTGTCTAGTGCTTGTTTATACTTTATTGTTTTGTTATGTTTCGGTGTTTGAATTGGTCTTTTTTTTGTTGCTTATAGGATTTGTTTGTTTGTTTGTCATATTGGTTGCTTAATTGTTCAATGAAAAATTAATATCCGCAACGCTGTGCCTTGACTATGTTTTTACATGAATCCTACTTGGAAATGGATTTGGCTGTCTCCTTTGTATGTGTGTTGAGAGGAACATGTCCTAGGTTTGTCTGTTTAATGTTAATTTCCTAATTATTGTTTGTTCTTCCTTGTTTAATTCCTTATGGATGAAATCTAGGTGTTGAAGTTAAGCCTGGGAAGCCCCTCAAGATTGAAGCTGAGGATGGGTATATGATCCATGTCTCTCAGGTTTTTATCCAACCTTTTTTATGGGTCTTTCTCCACATAGATATGGATTATTGCGATATGCCTTACATTGTATTATCTGTCTTCTAGGCTGCTATGGGTGAGTCCAAGAATGGGAAAAATGAGTGTGTTCCCCTCTATGTGAAGACCGGTGACCAAAAGTTTGTTATGGGAACATTGGCTTCAGAGAAGATTCCTCAGGTCAGCTTGGACCTGTTTTTTGAGCAAGATTTTGAGCTCTCTCACAACTGGAAGAATGGAAGTGTCTTCATTTTGGGGTACAAATCCCCTGAGATGAATGGAGGATATCCTTGATGCATTTCTTTCTTGAATATCGGTCGTTCTTTTATTGGACTTGCTAGTTTTTGTGCATTTTGTTGTAGCTAAAATACTATGATAGTAATTCTAATAGGCTCGCTTAAGTAAACTTATGATTACTCAAGTTCCTTTTGTCCTTCCTTGATTTTGTTTTTCGATTGACACGGATGAGGAACTCTATCCTGGTAAGTTCCAGTTTTTTCCTTTTTTAAGAATCGTTTCCCAAGCTGATTCTCTAATTGTTTGCACATGCCATGCCTTTGTAGATTTTGATGATTCTGAAGATGAGGAAGTTCCAGTGGATCTGGCCATGATTGGTAGGTGGTTCCTTTACTTCAGCTGGCTCAATCAAGTTGTACTTCGGTTATGATTTATGAATCTTGAATCTTAGAAGCGAATTGTTTCTAGGAAAACCAAACACCGACGCGTTGAAAGCAAAGAAAGAACAAATGGCCAAGGTTGAAGAAGCAAAGGAGGAGGATGAATCCGATTCAGAAGATGATGATGAGGATGACGACGACAAGGATGATGAATCGGACTCAGAAGATAGCGATGAGGTAAAGTGTTTTCAACCAGCCTGCGCGTTTTCAGCCGCGATTGTGTGTATTAAAAAAAGTGCCAACTTTTGTCTGTGTTCTTGGGGTTTGAATGAGGTGATTGAAACTAGATATCGAATTGATAAGCAAGTTTCAACGTTGTAGAAGCGGAAAACAGTTTTAGTTTCATTCGGAGTATGATTCCGTAAACCAACGAGAGTTTATCGGTGTTTATTTTTTTACTTGTGATATATTTGCAATGACATATGTAAATCTTAGTTGCCATCTTCTTGGGCAGATGAGCATGGATGGCTCAGATGAGGAGGAAGAGACTCCTAAAAAGGTACTCGCTCTTGAAGAAGCACTGCTTGGTTTTTTAAGCAAGTCTTGTTTTTTTCTTAATAATAGGGACTTGGTCTTTATCCTAATCCGCTAATGAAATCTTATTGATTAAAGGTTGAACCTTCAAGCAAGAAGAGACCTAACTGCCCTGCAGTAGCCACACCTGCCTCAAAGAAGTCCAAAACCGAAACTCCTCAGAAGACAGGTAATTTCTTCCACCCAGATATGAATGTGATGCAAGTTTTTAGGATTGGGTTTTTGAATTGGATGCATGACAGGTAAAATCCCTTTCGACCCAGATGATGTACGAGTTTTGTTGCTTTGAGTGTCAGTATGCGTATATATTCAAGATACTTGTGTACAGCCAACCAATGTAGTTTGACACTCTTTGCTATCAATCGAATTTGTGGCAGAAGGGAAGAAGGGCGGTAACACAGCAACTCCTAACCCCTCCAAGTCCGGGAAGAAGGGAGGACGCAACCCAAGCTCTCGGTGATGGCAAAATCATCCCTTTTGTTTAGAGAGAGTTCTTCATACCTTTCATCCGGGACGTTTACAAGTCCAAAACCCCATATGGGACAACACATATATAAACACTAGTATTGCTTCTCGTTATTCTTCCTGTGGTTTCCAAAGCCAATTTCGGGGGTTTTGTTTTAGGTAGATGTTGAGGCTTTTGGGGCTTAGTTAATGTGAGAAGACGACTTGAGTTTTGGTAGTACGAGTACTGATTTGGTTCTCAGTTTTTATTCCATTGTTCCTTGATTTTGCACCTTTCTTGGTTTTTTTGGTTAATGTTGTTTTATATTCTTAAATATTTTAATATAAATGAAAAACATTAACCTCAAGCTGGTTTGCCCGAGAGGTTAAGGGGGAAGACTTAAGATCTTCTGCACATAAGTGCGCGTGGGTTCGAACCCCACAGCCAGCATTTTAATTTCATATTGGTTTTTTTTAATTTTTTCAATGATTGTTTTTTTTTTAAACTTTTATCATAATGAAAAATAGAATACCGAAATAAAATTAAAAGGAATGCGTCTGCCGGGAGTCGAACCCGGGTCTATTGCTTGGAAGGCAATTATCCTAACCGTTGGACTACAAACGCAGATGTCTTCAGTAACAGGGTTTTTGCCAAAATAAAACCTCACACACGTGGAGACAAAAACACACCGACTTCCGTCAATTGAAATGCATAGTTTTTATATATACATTGACCATATGACCAAATTGATTGGACCAACACGTAGTAACTGTTGATAATGATTTCCAGTTTTCTCTATATGATTATATCATTTGAATATCCATGCGTTAGCTCTCTCCTTCGCAAAGCTTCAAATTTTGTTCTTTTTATTTATTCTTTTAATTAAAAGCAAGTCAAAGTTCTTTTGAGAAGAAAAAATAATGGAAAGTAGGGACGTCGTCTTATGTGGTCGTTTTCAAAACTTACGTATTAAATTTTGAAACCCATATCACAATAATCCTATAATAATAATAATTGGGCAATTGCCCCAAACCTCCCATTTCTATCATGGTCGCTGATGGGCACATATCAGTGACACGTGGCGGTGATTAGCTTTTTGATTTTGAATTTTTCTGCCACCTTTTGACTTTTTTTAATCGAGTCATTGGGCCGGCTACATCTAGGCTTATTTGGGCCGAGTTTTATTTTTTTTTTTTTTTTTTTTCCATAAATTCGATTTGAACTATATATATATATATAAAATATATAATGGAAGTCTTTTTTTGCTCGTCTTATTAAAGTTATATGAGGATTTATTTCCTTATTCCCGCCTAGTTATGTATAGAATTATCATCATATCTGCCAATCATAAAGATTTCTTTAAATGGGGAAAGGTCTAGCTGTCCCAATGCGACCACAAAAGAATCCACGTGAACTATAAATTAATTATTATGGCTGTGATTAATCATCTCATTTACCTTCTCATGAATATTGTTCGCATATTAAATATATAAATATCTAAACATGTTTTACTCCGAAAGAGAGAGAGAGAGAGAGAGAGAGAGAGAGATGAAGACAGAAGAGAAGGGAGGAAGAGACAAAGATGAAGTTCCCCAGCCAAAGGAGCTCGATGCTGGTGCTCTCTTCGTCCTCAAATCCAAAGGTATAATATATATACACACACACGCGCGCATATACGTGTACGTGTATATACACGCTCAGAAAGGAAAGAGAATGAAATTTGCCTGCAGGTTTCATTAATTTTCCAACATATTTATTAAAGAATAAGTTTATTTTTATGATGTAAAATATGGGGGAAAAAAAGGGTCATGGTGGCATTGCGGATACCACCTGACGACATCAATAGTGGCGCCGCCTCTACTGTCTCTGCCGTATGCGTTGAGCTTCATGGGTTGGTTCGCCGGAATCTCGTTCCTGGTCGTCGGAGCGGTCGTGACGTTCTACTCCTACAACCTCCTCTCTCTCGTCATCGAACACTACGCCTCCCTCGGCCGCCGCCACCTCCGCTTCCGCGACATGGCCCACGACATTCTTGGTACGTTAATTCCTTCTTTTTTCCAATAATTTAATTACCCTCCTGATATTATCTGCACTTCTAACTCTCTCTCTCTCTCTCTCTCTCTCTCTATATATATATATATATATATTCTAGTTTTATACATCAATTCTATGAAATGTAGAATAAGAAACTAACGTTTTCCTCTTTTTATTCTACGGGCAGTATACATATAATTTAGTAACCTTAAAAATCACGATTTCAAGTTGTATATATCATTAGTTTATTGTTTTTAACGATGGAAACAGAGTTGCGAGTATACTTAGGTTAGGATTTAATGTGTATATACTATTCGGTATAACAAATTCGTAATTTCAAAGGATTTATACAGTTTTAAAATATATATATATTATAATTATATAATTGTATAATGGCATAAGGAGCAAGTAGTGCAGAGCAATCAGCATCACACGCATGTCAATGTTTCCGTCTCTACTTTTTTTTTTCTTCCATTCGTGAGAAAAAAAAAATAGTGATCGTTTACTTAAAAGAATTGGATTAGTCAATGGGAGACTAAATATTTTGAATCACGAAAAAAAAAATGTAAAATATGATGCATACAATTTGGCTGTTTTGGCTAATCATAAAGACTTTTAGTGGAATTGCTATGATCTATTAACAATTTAACAGTATTTTTTATATAATCAATGTCTCGTTCATTGACTTTTATAAAATTTTATGTATTTGAAAGTATTTAATTTTCTTGGATTTATGTCCGTTTCTCTCTTTCCACATTTTTTTTAATTATTATATAATAATACATTCTATGCATAAATATATATTTTTCATTTCCAAATTCTATTTATAAAATATTTTTTTAATAAGGATAAATGTTAAAGAAATATGAAAGTATAAATTAGTACATACAAATAAAAAATATATAAAATAAGATAGGACTAAATTTTCGCATGTATACCAAAACTTATAAAAAATTCGAAAATTATCAAATATTGTAAATAATTAAATAAATAGAACCAATTAATTTTTTTAATTAACTGAAATTTTTTTAAGAATTTTTTAAATATATGTTGTTAATAAAATTATAAATATTGCACAAAAGTATAATTAATATATTTGGATAGAAAAAATAGATAAAAGAATTATATATCCAGTTTTTTTCTTAATTTTTATTTATAATATAAATTATAAAAATCAAATTAAATAAGAAATAAATTGTTTTATACTATTATGTGTTTGTTTTTATATGGTAGTTATAAATTTACATTATTTGTAGATAATAAATATATATAATGGGTTGGTGCACCTTCTTTGTTCTTATTTCCATCTCAAATTTAAAAAAAAAAAATTGAAAATTTTTTGGGGAATGTGATGAAAATGGGCAGGGGCGAAATGGGGAAGATATTACGTGGGCCCCATACAGTTCGCAGTCTGCTATGGGGCGGTCGTGGCTTGTACTCTTCTTGGTGGACAATGCCTCAAGGTTCACGTTCACCCCTCTCTCAATGTATACAATTAATTTAATTATGGAGAATATATATATATGTATATGCGCATATTATTCATCTAAACAGTATGGAGTAGAAAATTATTTTTTTTATACATGAATACGTTTTTGAATGACATTGGTTTTTATTTTAGATTTTTTACTTTAGTTTTTTAGTTTTTGGTTTTTAAGTCTTGAATGAACGTGGTTTTTGGAGTTTTTAAAATCTAAAAACCAAAAAATCTACCATTTAAGTTTTTATAAAAGTAATTTTCTTAAAAACTTGTAAAGCTATTTTATTGAAAAAATTAATGAAAAACCAAAAACTATTTTTTTAGAGTTTTTAAATATAAAAGAATTCAAAAACCAAAAACCAAAAACCAAAAACTCAAAATAAAAGTCATCCCCATACAAAGTCTTAGCTTTTAGTTTTTTGGCTTCTAAATTCTATAATTTTGTAAATCTAAAAAAAATTGGCTCTTGATTTTTAGTTGATTTTTTTTCATAAATTAGATTTTCGGGTTTTTTTTTTAAATAAATTAAAAAAAATGATTGTCGGTTTTTTTATTTTTTGAAATCCAAAAACTTTAAAAATCTTACCATTCAACATCTAAATTATGCATCATCACAATTCTATGAAGAAATTCAATAAAAGAAACCCAACTAGATTTTTTTTTTTGTAATTGAAAAATGCCAATCTCTCGTGTTGGTGTAAATATGAAGGCAATGTATTTGGTGTGGGACCCAGAAGGGGGAATGAAGCTGTATGAGTTTGTGGTGATATTTGGGGTGTTGATGCTGGTTTTGGCCCAAATCCCATCATTCCATTCCCTTAGACACATCAACTTGGTCTCCTTGGCCCTCTGCCTTGCCTACAGTGCTTGTGCCACTTCTGCTTCCATCTATATTGGTCGGTATTTATTCCCTTTTCTTCTCCTCTCTTTTTTTTTTTTTTTTAAAAAAAAAAATTGGGTCCTTTTCAATTTTGTTTTGAATTTCTTCTCATCAAATCCCCACTTGTGCTGAAGGATCATATTATAGACAAATTCATTGCGACCCACCAAATTTTCTCTCAATGATTTTGAGCCACAAGTGGCAAAGATAATAAATAATAAATTACATGTACACATTATCAATTGAATTAAGAAGATAGTATCTTTTAGATTACAAATCATTTATTTAAAACACAAACTATACTTCTGTGTTATTGAGGGTTATACAACAAATCTTCTGTCCTTTTATAAAGAGAAATATCGTGATATTATACAACGAGCAAATATTCGCAAAACTATCTTTTTGTATTATTGAGTGTTCTGAAAACCTTAATTTTTGTATTATTCATTAGATTTAACTATAGATATAATTGTATATCAAGTTAGTAGTAGACAAGGTTAATTAAAAAAAAGTAGTAGAGAATAAGTAATAAAGAATATTTTCAACCCAAAAAAAAGAAGAAATGAGGAATTTATGTTTTAAAATAGAAAAAAAAATATTAATTGTGGGGGTGACAGGAAATTCATCAAAGGGGCCAGAGAAGGATTATAGAGTAATTGGTGACGCTGAAAGCAAAGTGTTTGGCGTTTTTAACGCCACCGCTATTATTGCCACCACTTATGGCAATGGAATCATCCCCGAAATCCAGGTCTCTCCCCTTTCTTATTTTCTTTCTTTTTTTTAAAAAAAAAAATCACATTACCAAATATTAATACAATTCAAACCTAGTTTGGACCGTACCAAACCGTTACTACTTAATGAGAAGAATGCAATATAAATCGCAAACAGTTTATTTACATGGAAAACACCATTAGGCTCTTATAAAATATTCATGCAATCGGACCAAACCGAACCGAACCGAATATTGAAATGGGAATGGAATGGATCGTGAACAGGCGACATTGGCGGAACCGGTGAAGGGGAAGATGATGAAAGGGCTGAGCATGTGCTACACAGTGGTGACGGCCACATTCTTCAGCGTGGCGATTTCCGGTTACTGGGCGTTCGGTAACAAAGCCCAAGGCCTTGTTCTCTCCAATTTCTCCGACCGGAACGGGGTCCACTTCGTCCCCAAATGGTTCATCTTCCTCACCAATCTCCTCACCTTCCTCCAGCTCTCGGCCGTCGCCGTGGTCACCTCCTTTCTCCCTCTTCGAATATTATCAGATATATCATATCGTTTAGACCGTACATCGAATCTCGAGAATAGAAATTTAGAAAGTTTTTTCGTTATGACGAATTTGAATCGAATTCGGGTTAAGACTGTAAACGACAGTTTTTAGACCTCTGATACCATGTTGAAACGATCTAAGACGTTTCTTTGTTCAGGTTTACCTACAGCCGACGAACGAAGTATTGGAGAGTTTGTTTTCCGATCCGACGAGAAAGGAGTTCTCGGCTCGCAACGTGATCCCGAGGTTCATCTTTAGGTCGATGTCAGTCGTCGTGGCGACGACGGTAGCGGCAATGCTCCCGTTCTTCGGAGACGTAAACTCGTTGATCGGAGCGTTCGGGTTTATGCCGTTGGACTTCATTCTTCCCGTAGTGTTCTTTAACGTGACGTTCAAACCGTCGAGGAGGAGTTTGGTGTTCTGGATAAACACCGCGATTGCGGTTGCGTTTTCGTGTTTAGGAGTGATTGCGGCTGTAGCCGCGGTTAGACAGATCGCGATTGATGCCAACACGTACAAGTTGTTCGCCGATGTGTAAAAAATAAAAGAAATAATAAATAAGAAAACTTGCGAAAACAAGACATATCTTTTTTTTTTCAAACAAAAAAAAGAAACGTTTATGTTTTTTTTTATAAGAATAAACGTTTATGTTAACATTTTGGAGTGGTGAAAAAGTTTTTTTTTGGGTTAGAAAACAATTTGTAATTTAATAAATATATGAAACAATAAATTTATTTTCATCATTATCCGTATGATTCTATATAATTATTTTGGGTGTGAGAATATTTTAGCGTGTTGGTCCGTGTGTCTTGAGTAGATTGTGGATATTCGGTTCGGTTATTTATAAACCGAATTAAATAATACTTCCTCCTTTCAAAATATTTGTTGTTTTAGATTGTTTCACATTTTTTTAGAAAATAGAACAAAAATCACATATACCCCTATTCGATGATAAAAACAATACAATAATTAATAATGTATTAGAATTTGATAGAGATAAAATTGAAAAATATTATAAAAAAATATCTTGAAAATGTAAAACTACAAATATTTTGAAACATAGAAATAATATAAAACTATAAATATTTTGAAACGGATGGAGTATATAATTGTAATCGAAAATCGAAATACAAAATTAAATAAATACGGTATTTATAAAATCGAAAAAGAGACCGAGAATATAACACAGAAGAAATATAGCGAATAAACAAACTATTATATTTTAGAATTTAGATGGAGACTTGGAAAAAGAGTGAAGACCCAAACTTACATTTGCATGGCCTCTTGAAATTGTTCTCCAATGAATTTTTCTGTACATCTCAAAACCCTAGTCATCCTTTTCTTCGAAAACAATTTATATCGACGAATATTCATTATTCTATACATACATATATATATATATTCAATATATCGTTACTATCAAAACTATAGAAACCATTCATTATGCGACCATTATTACATATCCTTAAATGGGTATGTTGAAACATAAACTGCAAACTTGTTTATTGGCATGTAAATAAGGTCGACCGGAGCTGGAGCCTGGAGCATGCATTTATGGGACAATCAAATTTCCGATAGTTATATTCCATAAAAAAAAAAACTTATTCGGTAAGAAAAAAAAAAGTCAAAAGAACTTTTTTTTAAAGAAAAAAAGTGCTCGAAAACAAAAGCAAGAGGCCCAATGATTCAAGGAAGGCATCATCGATTACGATTTCTTTTAAATGGTGTTAAGGAAAAGTAAAGTATAATAAAATGATCTTATCAGATTTTTTTTTTAATTACGATAATTCACCAGACTTTCGGTCTAACTACATCCAATCTGAGCAGGTAAATCGCCTTACCGCAATTAATTGCATCTCACCTATCTTTTCATGGGTTCGAACCGGCCATCACCTGCGTCTAACGATCTCAAAGAGATTTGGCCACTAGAAACGCCTACCACCCGTCCACAATGGGCGGATCGATCTTATCAAGATTTATATTACAACAACCTAATTATTAGGGATATTTTCCTACATTACAAAGTTTGAATTCCAGATTTTATATGCAGTTAATATTTAATCATTAGATTACAATAATAAAAATAATCATTTTTTTGATAGAATTTTAAAAGAAATTTTGGTTTGTTAGTTACATTGGCTTATAACTATTACTTGGGTTTTCTATATATTCTTACAAACTACATTTGAGTTTCGGAAGGATTGAAAGCCATAAGATAACTTCCCACCAACTAAAGCACGTTACGAATAAAAATAGAACGAAGACCAAAAGAATATCCGTACAAACGTATTGTACTTTTTTCTTTAAACAAAGAAAAACAGCTTACCGTCAAGTTTGGTTAACTAGTGATAAAAAGACTATGTTTTTATTCTGCGTTTAAATTTAAACGTGGGAGTGACATTCATTTAGAATTTTTCGATCTTTTTTAAGATATAATTGGATCAAAAATCCGTTGAACGTCCGAATTATTTAAAAAAATTAGCTAACCTATTAACGAAGAACACCCCGGCGGTAAAAAAGACAACATTATTATTTACAAGTGGATAAATTATTCGATTATAAATCTAATGTGATTATAAACTGTTTTGTTAATAAAAGTATATTATCTTTAAATTCGAATTTAAATGGGAAAATTTGGTTTCAACACCAACTACGCCAGTTATATATTAATTTTCCCAGAATTTATATGGATTTACTAAAATACCTTTAAATCTGATTAGTATTTTGTTTGCATTATGTGAATGTCAGATTTATCAAGCAATTAATGTGGGGTTTATGAATGTTGTCACATCGTCATAACTATTGGTAAAGAGCCTTTACATCAAAACATGATTAACTCTAATGGTCCTAAACGGAATTATAAATATTTTTAAAACTGCAATTTATTTCATTAAAGATGTAAAAAGATTAAATAACCGGCGTCAATGCGCCAAAAAACAATAATCCTTTGGTGTATTGATATTTTTTTTTTAAAAATTTTTAAAACTATAATTTTGGCTCGAAAATACATCAGAACCTAATATTCACGTATTAATTAGAAGAGTACGTTTTAAAATCGGTCGATTGGGCTTGTGCGTATTGATTCAAGAGAAATTAAGTAAGATAATGAAATTTTTAAAAAATAAATATAATTAATGAGACAAAACGGATAGAATGATCACAATTGGACAAAAATTTGGCTGCGTTTTGATTTAAAAAATATCTAATTCCGTATTTTTAACCACGAATTACATTTGATGTAATCTTTTCAAGACGACACGTATAAATCATGTTTTTGGTGAAGATGACACGTATTAATTCAATCTTAAAAAACCTATTCTATGATTAAATTCAGATAATCTATTTTAAAAAAATCCTGTCTTTTATTTTCAAATATCATATTTTCACATAGCCTCTCACTAAAGTGAGATATTTTTTATTGGTTTTTGACTTTTTCATGGTATTATTGAAGAACATGAAAAAAAATATGGGAATTGGACTGGCAGTAACAGCAGTTTGATTAAGAGGTTGTCTAGACAGAAACGGTAATAAAGCAGTTAATGATCGTGGATAAAAATAAATAAATAAATACCACTAATTAAAATATTTATCTTGTTTTATTTTTCATTTTTTTAAATATTATTTTCTCTCGAGTCAATCCGTTTCACGTGAAAAATAACCAAATCAAGGGAAACGAATGGTTCTGTTCGAATTCCAAATTTACTCATCATTACGAGTTTGTAAATAAATTTCTGTCACTTAATCCCAAAAAATATATATATATATTCCTTAAATATATATATATATATATATTCCTTAATTAATGAAATTTTAGGTGGCGACAAAATGGAGAATGGGCCGTTGATTTAGCCACGAGAACGGCGTCTGCAGACGGTCTTGAGTACATGCAGTCTCTAGAGTAGGATTTCTGACGGGGCGTTCTTCATTACAAGACACGTGTCACGATACCAAAATTTCAAGCGCATTTTAGAAATAAATAAAATATATATCCTGTCACGTCCGGATACAAACCGTTTCAGTTTTCTACCATTTTCTCCTAGTCATTTACCATAATACCCTCTTTTTACTCGTTCGGATTATGCAGCGCTAATTAGTATCCCAATAAATTCTGATTTAGATAAAGTTTGAATTTTGCATCAGTAAAATAAATCATAAAAAAAGAATGAAAAATTAAAGAGAAAATAATGAATATAAAAACATAGATGAATGCAAAGCCAAACAGAAAATAAGGTTTAGATTGGATCGTATAAATATTATTATTCAGATTCTTATTAGATATTAATAAATTTTGTATTTTAGATTTTATAAATAATTTGGAAATAACTATAATAGATAAATTTCGTTTTACTATTTATAGCACTATGGTAAAGAATATAATATTTTATATGCGTGTATTATATAGAAAGTAATTTTTTTTAATAATAATAAAAAAATGGGTGTGTCATAATAAATAAAATTTTACCATAAATGACAGATTTAAATAAATTTGAAAAAAGAATAATTGATGTCTCAATTAACTAATTAAAGGAATTCAAAAGCCACTAATAATAAGGGTAAATTCGTCAAAACAAAATAATGGCATACTAGTAAAATGCGTATTAGAGTCCACCATCCTTATAAGCCGGCACTCACACGGACACGAACACGGACGTGATTCTGCTCTCTTCTCTCTGAGTTTATCTGAATCCTTTTCATTTTCATTTTCCTTGTCATCGGAGATAATGTCCCAACGTGGCGGTGGGCGGCGTTCTGGTCAGTCTTCTTCCGGCGGGGATCCTGCATGGCCGGGGCTTCGCGGCTCTGGCGGCCGTGGAGTCGCCTCTGCTTCCCGCGGTGGGAGGGGCCGTGAAAGCGTCACCAGTGTCTCGACGCCTTCTCCGAATCCGACTCCGACTCTGACTCCGACTCAGACGGCGGCGAGTGCTTCACAGGCGACGAGTCATTCACCGGCGGCGAGTTCTTCATCGGCTTCGACGGGTGCATCGACGCTTCCTCCGCCTGCATCGACTTCGACTCTGAGTCGTGAGTTATCGGAGAAGGCTCACATCGAGCCGAAGCCAGGGACGTCGGAGCTGCCGCCGGCGTCTTCGAAAGCGGTGGTACTGGCGGCACGACCTGGGTTCGGAACGGTGGGTAGAAAGGTCACCGTCCGCGCGAACCATTTTCTGGTGGAGATGGCCGATAGAGATCTCTGCCACTACGATGTAAGCCTGGAAATCCCCTCTTTGTTTTCTTTAGACATACGTATGAATCATCTTACCCTGCTTTTGCTAAACAACGTTTCAGTTTATGTATTTTGTTGTTCTTGTTCTTGTTCTGTATTTTACACATTCTCCTGTATCCAAGTATATTTGTCTCGGAAAGCAAACACATATTTATGAAATAATCATTTGTTGTTTCCACAACATTTTTTAATGCGCAAACATATCTATTTTCCTATACAAATGTTAATATTTTATAAGAATGCCACCTTGACCTTTGTCTCTTTTTGTTTGTTGTAATGCTTTTGTTCCTTGTGTTAGCATTTTGACGTTGACTCGATTTTGTTTGCACTTTTTATTTTTCTAAAGTGAAGTTTTTGAGTCGAATGTTTTTCACATGGAAGTTGGTTTTGTTTGCCATTGTTGTTCTTACGGAAAATTTATGTTTGCCTTGTTGGATCCATGCAATAGGTGGCAATTTCACCTGAGGTCATATCGAAGAAAGTTAACCGAGATGTGGTGGCTGAACTTTGCCACATCTATGGAGAATCGCTGCTGGGTGGCAAATTACTCGCTTATGATGGCATGAAGAGTGTCTACACCGCAGGGGCTCTTCCCTTTGAGTCGAAGGAATTCGTGGTTAAGCTGCAGAACAATGAAAAGGGTGCTAAATCATCATCTTCAAGGTAATGTGATTGTATATGGCTTTTTGTTGGGTGTCATCATATTCGCAGACATTCATTGTATGTATGTAATGTGATCCTTCTTTTTCAGGAAGGAGCGACAGTTCAAGGTTGTTATGAAAATGGCATCAAGACCGGATCTGTATCATTTGCAGCAGTTTTTACGTGGGAAACAGAGGGATGCTCCGCATGAAACTGTTCAAGTTCTCGATGTTGTACTTCGAACAACTCCAGCGAGACAGTAAGAAGCTTCAATATTGCTTCTTCTAATATTTGAGATGCTTGAATTTATGTTTTGTGAAATTTTCTCAGTTAAGTGATATCGTGATTTGTTTTGCAGCTATGTCACTGTGGGCAGGTCCTTTTTCCATCCTTCCTTGGGACAAAAAGGTGCTCTCGCCGACGGTGTTGAATATTGGAGAGGATACTATCAAAGCCTCCGATTGACACAGATGGGTCTGTCCCTTAATATTGGTAAGACATATCTTTTTGTACCATCATATCGCCTTCTGTTGTGTGCTTTTTCTGATACAGCTGGATTTCTTCCTTTCGAGATTATACAGATGTTTCCGCAAGGCCGTTCTATGAGCCAGTCCTTGTCACTGACTTTGTGAGCAAGCACTTGAACATAAGGGACTTCAGCAGACCGCTTTCTGACATGAACCGTGTTAAGGTAGTGCAGTTGTATACCGTTGAAGTTGTTGGAATTATTAACTGAAATTATATCACTGAGTGACAAAATTGATGTATATGATATTTGAATAGATAGTTGTGTTTATCATTTTTTTGAAGCTTAGTATTGCTTGTTCTTGGTTTTCCCATTCAATTGTATATTATTTGAAGCCCTTTGCCTTGATCTTACCATACAACCATCTTTGGGTTTCCAGGTCAAAAAAATCTTGAGGTCTATAAAGGTGGAATTGGGACACTGTGGTTACTCTATAACCAAGAAGATTACCAGTGTTTCCAATTGCCCTATAAGCCAACTAAGGTGAAGTTAACTTTCTTCTCTTTGGATCATATTGACCAGATGTGGAGTTGGCACATATTAGTTGCAATGTAGCTGATACAGCTTTTTCTTTGCCGTTTCAGCTTTACTCTTGAAAGTGGCAAGAATGTGACTGTGGTTCAGTATTTCCTTGAGAAATACAATTACAGAGTTAAATACCCTGCTTTACCTGCACTTCAATCTGGAAGCGACTCGAAGCCTGCATATTTTCCGATGGAAGTAGGTTCTTTGGGGATGTGATGTAATATTTACTGTCATTGTTCCCGGTCGTTTTGTCTGAGATATCTGCATATTCTCGTTTTTCAGCTTTGTAGAATCGCTGAAGGTCAACGATACACTAAAAGGCTCAATGAGCGGCAGGTAACTGCCATGTTGGGCGCTACTTGCCAACGTCCAGTTGATAGAGAGAGAGATGTAAAAAAGGTTAGAATTTGTCTTGCATAACTGTTGTAGATAGTTTTGCGCTTTCTACTTAATACCGTTCATGTTCGCTTTGACGAGGATGGATCCTTTTGTATTCTTGTTAGATGGTCACCGAGAATAGCCACATCAAAAACAAGCTTGTGAGTAAGGAGTTTGGACTTCAAGTGAAAGAACAGCTAGCTGTCGTCGAGGCTCGTGTTTTGCCCCCACCTATGGTAATCGTTTTTATTGTGTGTGAATATGATGGATTGCTTAATAAGTTGGGTTCCTAAACTTGTCTCCATTTCTATTCTCAGCTCAAGTATCATGACACTGGGAAAGAGAAGACGGTGGATCCTAGACTTGGTCAGTGGAACATGATTGACAAGGTAAGAATACTGCCTTTTGTTACTGCAAAGCATTTCTCTCTTAGCTTGTTTTTGCAATCATATTTGTGGCTCTTTGAATTGTCGTATTCAATCTGGTTTTGTCTCTAGAAAATGGTCTTGGGTGCGAGAGTGGCTTCATGGACTTGTGTGAACTTCTCTACACGGGTCGATCAAGGTTTGCTTCATGAGTTCTGCCACCAACTGATTGGCATGTGTGTCAGCAAAGGAATGGTATGGTCTTGATACACACTTCCAAATTCTGATAGTCATTGCAGATGCTTTACTTACCGTGATGTCTATGACTTTTCTTTTGCTCGTTTGGTTAGCAATTTAATCCCGAACCAGCTGTCGCCTTTTCGGCTGGTCGTCCTCAACAAATCGAAGCCGCACTTGTAGAGATACACAAGAAGACAACTGCAAAACCCCTCCAGCTGTTGATAGTAATCTTACCCGACGTATCTGGATCGTATGGTGGGTTAATAGTCATTGTTGTTTCTCATATAAAACTTACTAGGGCACTATTAATTTCTCTGAGACCTCTCTTCACAGGGAAGATCAAAAGGATATGTGAGACTGAACTGGGGATCGTCTCACAATGCTGCAAACCGAATCAAGTTTATAAACTCAGCAAGCAATACATGGAAAATGTGGCATTGAAGATCAATGTTAAGGTCTGAATGTTTTCATTCTCGTGTTCTACACGTTAGCTTTTAGCTTTTGGAAACTATAACTCTGAGCCAAATTGGGATTTCAGGCCGGTGGGCGCAATACAGTTCTGCAAGATGCCATTCGGAGAAATATCCCTTACGTTACTGATCGACCCACCATAATCCTTGGTGCGGATGTGACTCACCCGTCGCCTGGAGAAGACTCGAGCCCTTCTATCGCAGCTGTAGGTGCCTCTGCTCATTTAAATTGGTCTTCTTGTACTGTTATACAAACAGATAAGCTTTCTTTGTGTAGGTTGTAGGCTCGATGGACTGGCCCGAGGTCACTAAATACAGAGGATTGGTCTCTGCTCAGGCACATAGGGAGGAGATCATCCAGGATCTGTACAGACTTGTTAATGATCCTCAGCGTGGGTGGGTCCATTCTGGTATGATAAGGTAGTAATAACGTCACTGTCTTTGTTCTTGGTCGTGAATGCAGAGATAACACGAATCATGACAATGTCCGAGCAGCCTTACATTCTGGATTTCTTTGTGACTGCAGGGAACTTTTCATCGCGTTTAGGAAGTCGACAGGGCAGAAGCCTGACCGGATCATATTCTTCCGGTATGTGTTCTTGTTGGTCTTTGGTAGATGCCAATACGTGTATTACATTTTTCTCACAATATTTCTGTGTATTAGTGATGGAGTTAGTGAAGGACAGTTTAACCAAGTTCTGCTACATGAGATGGATGCCATTCGTCAGGTGATTTTGCTTTCGGATCCTTAGGTGTTTTATTGATTCGAAAGATATGCTTTAGTCAGTTGCGGCATTTTTGTAGGCTTGTAACTCGCTGCAAGAAGGGTATCTGCCTCGTGTTACGTTTATCGTCGTTCAGAAACGTCACAACACTCGTCTCTTCCCCGCTGAACATGGGAATCGTAGCCAGACTGACAAGAGCGGCAACATCTTACCAGGTCTTCATCATTGTTCCTTTTAGAATTAGGTCTTCTTATATCAAAGAGAGACGCTCTTGTATCCTAACTCATAATATATGCTGTTCGTAGGTACTGTGGTGGACACAAAGATCTGTCACCCGACAGAGTTTGATTTCTACTTAAACAGCCATGCAGGAATCAAGGTGAGAAAGGGACAGTGTTTTTCTTTTGTTCCTTCTTTCTAGTTGTGTCTGAAACGGGGTTTTGACGGGGAAATATTTCTTCGAAGGGAACGAGTCGACCCGCACATTACCACGTCCTTCACGACGAGAACAGGTTTACGGCCGACGCGTTGCAGATGCTAACCAACAACCTCTGCTACACGTAAGCGGTCTCCCTTGTCTGAAACTTAATCTTCATGTTTTTTCCTTAACTCATCTGACGAATCATAAAACATCTTATTTAGGTACGCAAGGTGCACAAGGTCTGTCTCAATCGGTAAGTAGTCAATGCTAATGACACTCTTCTCTTATCCACACTCCTTCCTTTTTGCTTTCGAGTGAGACAAATAATGTGTCGCGGGTTTTCTTTTTGTTGAAACCTGCAGTGCCTCCGGCCTACTATGCCCACCTGGCCGCCTTCAGGGCTCGGTATTATATCGAGGGGGAGATGTCGGATGGAGCTTCTACGAGTGGTCGGAGCAGGAGCACTGCCACGGCCGAGGTCAGGCCGCTGCCGGCCATCAAGGAGAACGTGAAAGATGTCATGTTTTACTGTTGATTTGCGTTTTTTGGTGGATGGGGGGATATTCTCTTCTGGCGGATTGGATGCATTTGTGAATGCAAATACAATATCTAATTATGTTTTGGGTCTGGTGTGTAAATGACTTGTGTTTTTGGCGGTTGAATATTTTCTCTTAACTGAAAAAAAAACGCCGAAATATATTTTGTCAAATTTGTTTTTGATATTATGGTTAAGGGATCATTATCAAAAATATTCTTATTTGCTATTTCTATTTCATTCTATTTCAACACATGTCTCTTTTTCTAGTCGTGATCATGTTTCTAGTCGTGATCATGTGATCCAAAATATAGTGTATATACTGATCTTATTACTCAATGTTATTACTCAGTGTTAAATTTATGATATATTAATCAAATAATTAGTAAATTTATGATGTATTAATCAAATAATTAGTAAGATATACAATATATGAACATAATGAATTAGTGAGATCACCATAAATTTAATGCTATAATCAATAAAATTAAAATGTGATCACATTATATCATGGGTGACATGGTCAATTGGAGAAAGATATGTGTTGAAGTAAGAATAACAAAGTAGTGAGATCACTATAAATTTAATGTTATAATCAATAAAATTAAAATGTGACTACATTATATCATGGGTGACATGGTCAACTGGAGAAAGATATGTGTTGAAGTAAGAATAGCAAAGTAAATGTATTTGTGTTGAAGTAAGAATAGGAAAGTAAATGTATTTTTGATATAATGCGTGGTTAAAGTATGTTTTTCCTTTTTTATGGTGTACTTCTGTTAGTCTTAGGTTTCGTTTGCATTTAAGATTCGGTTTTTCCTATACGAAACCGAAGAGCTATTAATTTGGTTCGTTTTTATTCGGTTTCAGTTTTTCATAAAAAAAAATATTCCAACAATGAATTCGCAAGTTTTCAATAAAAAAAACATAAATTTGGTCACTTGTCACTTTGGTTTTGTCTTTTAAATGGATTTGTTTTTTTTTTTGTTTTTTTTTCTGCATATTCTTTTTTAACTCGATCCTTGTGTTTAAAATTAAATCGACAAAATTAGGGTCTCTTGTTTTTTTAATTATACCGGGTTAGCGAATTCGGAATTAAACCGGCTTGAACAGAACCGGTTACAGCAAACTTAAAATGTTTCGGTTTAATCCGAATCCCTAAATTCCTCTCTCCTCGAGAAGTCTTTTTTCTGTGATTTGGCGAAGTTATACAGAACTCGCCAGATTGATCGGATTTACTTCTCCAAATCAAACGCTAGCGTCTAAATTGTCCTTCGAGATCCACATCTTATCTGCTCTGTTTCGAGGTGATGTTATTGTTGTTTTCGTTAACCTAATCGAACAATTCCGGTGATCTCTTCTTTGTAATTTCTATCTCTGGTGCTTCTACTCGTTTTTCGCCTAGATGTTCCCAAATTGTGAATGTATTCATGAGATTTTTTTATATGGATGAATTCTAGATGGTTTGTTTCTGGATTCTATAGTGTTTTGTTCGGATTTCTGTGAGGTTGAATTGGTTGGAGGTTGTCTGTGAGACAATTAAGCAGTTCTGAGACAATGAATCCATTCTTTTTCTTTTGAATAAGAGCAATACTAAAGATTCGGGATTATATTGTGATTTTTGTTTATTTTTCCTGGGGGTTGTGACATGTAGATGGATCCCGGAATGCCCATTAAGAAATGGGTAATACTGTACCCAGTTTATATCAATTCGAAGAAGACGGTGGCTGAGGGGAGGAGGATCAGCTTGGGTAAAGCCTGTGAGAACCCTACATGCCTCGAGATCAGCGATTGCTGCAACCATTTGAAAATCCCTTCCGCAATTGAGGTTCTTCCATTGCTTATTTTCATCTGAACTGCTATGCCCTTTTGTAGCACATTGTGGAGTGATTTGAGAGATTTTTTTTTGCCTCCAGCTTGACAAGGCGTATCCCCGTGATTTCATGCAACGAGGGAGAGTGAGAGTTCAGTTGAAAAGGGAAGATGGCACTCTGTGTAATCCAGCCATTACTTCGAGTAAGGACGCCACCATCTTCTTGTGATGCGCATGCGTATTAGTTTCTGTGCTTCTCTTCTTAGCTTTGCGCTACAGCTTTGGTGCATTTTCTGTTTTATGTTTCCTTCGCATTGCCGACCCTAGCAATCCACTAAATGAACTTGATACTTTGTTTGCCTGATTGTATTGGAACTGATGAACATAAATATCAGTTCTATTCCATGTGTTTATTATCTCTTTTTGATTAGTGAGTGTTTTAGCTTTCTTGTGTCAATCAATTTACATGTGATCCAAACCACAATCGTAAGCTCTATCCTTTTTTGGTGTGTGTCTAATTTGGCTTTATTGGGTTGATTGATCAATCTGTGCTAGCAAGTTTGTGTGCCTGATGGAATATAATAGTATGCCATCGTTTGTTCAGAAAACATTCGAGATCTGTCTTTTCCCTGATGTCTTGTATTTGAGAACCATTGTCATCCCTTCTCGCAACTCATAATTTCTCGTGACTTTTTCTGGAGTTTTGTCCATGTGAGTCAAAACAAAATTTGGATATTGAATGTTGCATCTGGTGAAACATTTACCATTTTGTTTTTTTCTTTTGTAAATCTCATGTCGTCATAGTACGGACCCTTCATAGGTCATAAAATTGTTCATAGACTCAGAGACAGGGCAAGACTGATACACAGGTCATCATATGCAGAAATAATCTAATATCATATCTCTTATCCTTGTGTATGCTGCATGATGGTTCATGCTTTGATATCTCTAAGTTCTTAGGTGATTGTGCTTACTTGTGTTTTAATGCAGGATCCTATTTTGTGGATTGAGCTATATGTAATATATGTGTTGATTGCAAGATTTCTCTCATTTCATTAATGCTTGTTATTACTTGGAAATTTGGTGAAATGGGATTTCAAGTTGTGCCTGAGTGAAGAACGTATAACATCTTTATCTTGTGTATGCTGCATGATATTTTGAATGATATATACATATAGCTTGATATGGAGTCGAGTGAATTTTCCAAATTTCTTGTAGTTCTCAGAATGTATTGATCTAGACATGTTGCATCTATGTTGCCAGTCCCTGAAGGCTGGAATGAACTGTATGATATCCATGAATATCTTTGTGTGTTGATTGACGGCTCGTTTGCACAAATTTCTGAGTTTTCACCGAGTTGCTTACTTTCGTGTGTTTGCAGGGAAGCAACTGATGCAGCAAATCGCGGAGTTGGTACCGAGACATCATGGAAGAGTAAAGAAACAGGAAGCACAGTCGAGTTCTTCCAATGCTGGAACATCTTCAAAGTCTGGCAAAGGCGGCAAAAAGAAGAGATAAAGACGGGTCTCTTTCAACCAGCCTGCGCGTTTTCAGCCGCGATTGTGTGTATTAAAAAAAGTGCCAACTTTTGTCTGTGTTCTTGGGGTTTGAATGAGGTGATTGAAACTAGATATCGAATTGATAAGCAAGTTTCAACGTTGTAGAAGCGGAAAACAGTTTTAGTTTCATTCGGAGTATGATTCCGTAAACCAACGAGAGTTTATCGGTGTTTATTTTTTTACTTGTGATATATTTGCAATGACATATGTAAATCTTAGTTGCCATCTTCTTGGGCAGATGAGCATGGATGGCTCAGATGAGGAGGAAGAGACTCCTAAAAAGGTACTCGCTCTTGAAGAAGCACTGCTTGGTCCCTTTCCTTAGAGAGAAAAACAATGTTGGCCTTTTCCCTTTTTACTAGGATTCTATGGACTTTGCGAACTGGGAAGAGAGAAGAGCAGAGTCCATAGAGTTTTATCATTGAGTTTACTTTTGGGAACTTGCACTTGGATTATGATGAATGGTGGGTGAACACAGTAAATGTAATGAGGTTTCTTTTTTGACTTTTTTTTTTCCTTACAAAATTTAGAAAATATTTTTGCATATTGAGTGGATCCTTTTATAAACATTAGTCTCATAAAAACAATTGTGTCTATAAGAATGAAAATCTCTGGATACGTTACCATCACCAAAAAAGATCCAACAAATTTCATGAACAGGGATGGATGGATGGATGGATGGAAGGCCATGGAGCTTAAACCTTGGCTGTTTCACTTCTGTCAGGAGAACAAAATGGGCTACCACTGGCAAAGGAATTCCCATCTACGACAATAGGAAGATGCTTATCGGGCTTAAGCAGTTTTCTGCGAGATCCATAAATCAACTCAAAAGGCAATTGAAGTATGAATCATTAGTAGTCTACATCTGTTTAGGAGTCAAATACATAGATACTCACATACTCCTAATATTTTTCTGACCTAATAATCGTTCTCCCTGGACCATAATATATATAGGCACATACACACGCTACAAAGTGCTACAAAAACTGAAAAGTCCAAGAGAGCAATACATTATCACATGGAAAAGCAAAGCTAGCAGAGTTGTTGCTAGGACTTGTTGTCCACCACAAGTCTCGGAACTGTTCTCTCCCCATTCCCTCGAGTTCATAATTCCGTTGCTTCGGCCTCCTCTTGCCGCTGAAACATTCACGCCTAACGAGCCTGCAATTTTCCATCCGAGGTTCAACTCTCCTGCTGATATATATAGAATATCATTGCCCGCACTTGCCCCTTTCGCCTTTTCCTTGGTTATAATCCAAACTAGATTTGCTCCTTTTCTTTTTCCATTTTTCTACTCGCATTTCTAACCAACTGGTCCATCAAACCCCACAATAGCAAACACCGAAGGTCTGTTTGTTCGTCCTAGAAGATAAGATATGTCGATATACTATCCAGCTATTTGATACGATTCTATCATATTTTACACCATGTATAGAACAACATTTTTCTATCATCTTAGATATAAGTAAAGATTACATGTACCACGGATATAGATTACGGCTAAAATATTCAAAGCAGTTTGAGAACTGGATTCCAATAGTTTTAACCCAAAAACTGTAAAAATCAAACACTCACAGTCGTAGTCTGCCCATCCAATTCGCTGATGAACAAGGTCGTAGATAACGACTCTGTCTTTAAGAACCAGGTCTGCAACACAATCCAGCACAAAGAAAAGCAGTTAAAATCACACCATCTCGATTGATTCGATGGAAGGACGGTTATTCGATTCAGTACCCCCTAGAATTGTTATTCGATGTCCCGGCATTTTGAGGAAACCAATGCACCATACTGGACTGACTCCCTGAGGAGAAAAGTACAAACAGATATAAAAGGTTTTTAATTTGACCTTACTACGCAGAGAATAATGGAATACAAAGCTTATAAGAGAAACAATCATGAAAACATATGTAGTATTGTTACAATAATTATGAGAGAATAACAATGTTGCATAAGAATCATATAATTTCAATTGCAACTGTGAGTGAGCATTTACAAAATCACTTGTATGGTTCCCATTTCAGGCAAACGTCTACAAACATCCAGTCCAAGGTAATGCAGACAACCGCATTTCTCATTTGACCTCTTTTCTGGTTTTAGTTTGATTCAGATACACTATGTATTACGTAGGGCAGTTAATAACTATTTCTTGATAATCTGTAAAACACAAATGCTTGTGACAAAGAGGATAGGTCATAACAATTTTTTAAATACAAAACTGGCAAATATGAATTTTCTTACATTGGAGACGTACTGAAGGTAATCCCCAGGTTTTAAGACCATGAGTGCACCACCAGCGAAATTCAAGGTAACTTGAGGGAAAACATCCACAGCACTGTCACAGGAAATCAAATCTTTTGACACTAAACACCAGGAACATGAAATTTTAGAGTGTATATATGCATGTGTCTGCAAGTATAGATAGAGCAACTGAACCTGGACCCGATATCGTAACATTGGTGACTATCGTGGATAATAGAACGAGCATTTTGTGAAACAGAGTTGGTAATCTGCATGTTGAAGAAATATGTGTTTTCTTTGCTATAAGGTGAATAAGATCAGGTTAACCAGCCACAAAACTAGAAAGAGGAAGAAAAGGACTTACAGCTTGCAGAAACGGATCATACGCTTCTTCAGGAAGATAAGCAAGCGTTGTTCCTGTATCAATTATTGTTCCTTCACTGGTGGCTAGCGCAAAAACAGATGGATCAATCGGTAATACCTGACCATTCACAGAAATGGTCTGCAGGTCCACATTGTAATGAGGCCTGAAAATTTTTCAGCATATTCTGATACATTAATTTGATATAAGTATTTTAACTTTCTTTTGTCAAGCTAAAGGAGCACCATTATGTTTTACTGAAACGTCTGGATATCTTGATATGGTTCCCACACAAGAATAGGATGGGAAAAGACAAAGAAACCTATGATTTATCATGAATCCAACACTTCTATCTTGCCACTTAGATCCTGGAATTTATACTCTTAGAAAACTCATAGTGGACAGCTTCCACCACAACGTGGAAGGCTGTTTCATTGTGACTGGTAGTACCTTCAAATTTTATTTAATTGATGTTTCTATTTTCACCATATAACAGATTTTGGATTTTCTATTTCTCAGTAAATAATGGGAGATGAGCAAATTGAAGGGTTGAGATCATACTGTGATGGAACAAGAGGAGTATAAACGGTATCCGGTCGCTCAATCTGGCCTAGAACCATTATACCTCCACCGCTTCTATCACCCTTCAGACAGTGGGAGAATACTTGGGGTGCAAGTCCCTGTGAAGAAAGCTGTGAAACTATTGATAAGCGCCCCCTGCCTAACCCAAATATACCATCCACTGCTTTGTCAGGCTTCTGCAAACCCCCAGTCTGCAAGTTGCTACACCTGTTTCATCATAAATTATGAAACATATTAGGCGAGAGTTAGATTTTAAGCTCATATTCTAATCCCATACATTTTATGACGAAGAAAACTTCATGATAATGTTATGATAAAATGAGCAGCTAATCTCTCAATTGAACTGTTGTTGCTTGTTACAAACTCAGAAGTCCTATACCATAAGTTCACAATTACCATGTTTTGTACTTCAATACAATTAAGAGAAAAGAAGGAATTTTGTTTTCTATTCACCGAGGAATCATGATTATCATGCAAGATGGACAAAACATACCATGAAAGAAGAGAAAAAGTAGATTGATCAGTGCTGCTAGCTTACCCGAAGACAACAGGAGCTGATGAGTTTAGACTCAGCGTACTGGTGACAACCATATTAAAGGACATGAAATCTGCAACATAGTACCCAGAAGTGCCGCTTCCATCGCCATACTGAAATGTGTAGGAACAGAGATTGTTCGGAGAACAGCCAGATTCTGATTGCAGAGTCGACGAACATCTCCTGTCTGAACATGAAACCAATAAAGCTGAGGATGAGGCCCCGGGATCAAAGAAACTTAGCTGAATCTGGAAACCCAAAGACGGGATCAAAGAAAACTTAGCTTAATCTGGAAAACCAAAGAACTACAAAATAAAACCAACCCAAGTGATTGATCTTATTATAGATAAATCTCTACAAAGACACGTTCAAGAAAACTTTTGAGCAAATGGAAATGCTATCAAGGAAAGTTGGAAAGAAAATATACTTGAAGTTCACTGTTCTTGGGGCAGCCGTTACAGGAATTGCAGCTAACCCATAAAACATCACTTCCCGTGTCAATTTGCACACTGAATTCTCTTGGGGGTGTCCCTAGTTTAACCTTTGTGTAGTAGAGTCTGCAACAAAAGCATCAATAATGAAATAACAAAAGGAGAGGAGAAGAAGTAAAATCATATCAAACTTGACGAAATCTGAAACAGAAGGAAAAAGAAAAGTTACTCACAATCACACAATTCTCATCAAGTTCCGCTTACTTTTCCAAAGTTTGTGACAATAGTTCAGTTTGAGAAGAACATTGACCAATTTCCTTGAATGTCTTTTTTCATTCAAGTTCACCAGAAGAACATCGCAGATAGGTATGACTCATGAGTACATATGATATCACTGTGTTGGTTCATAATTGGCAAGTACGAGGGAACCTACTAATGAAAGACTCTACAAATGAGACAAAGATAGATTAATTAAACAGACCCTTAGCTACCCTATAGTCGGGAGAATCTTGGATACGTGCGTAACAGAGTCCGGATTCAAACAAAGTACATCAATGAAAATAAATTCTTCATTTTCTTCATATGTGATCCAAACTTGAGAAATGGATCAAGAGGGCAACTTGAATGCTGCACAATCTCGAGAATCAACACCCTATGCAGCAAGCAAAATTTCCGATCGATTCCAATTTGTCTGCATTCATATCAGAAATTCGAGTCCAGAGGCCTAGGACTAGGACCGCTATCGGAGATCGAAACTCGAAATGCAAATCGTAAAAAACTCAAATACAGCAACTAGAGTTTCGAGATGCAGAAGTTCTTTTACCCAAAGAGTTGCGGATCTCCGTCGACCGAAAAATCAACCACTCCACTTGCAGGACTCTGCAGCAACCTGCCATGGCGAGCTGCGTCACGAGCTCTGAGTTGACTCAGATCGAGCTCATGACTCGCCGGAATCAACCTCTCCAGCTTCAGAACCGCCGGAAAACCGCCAATCACTACCGTAGCATGCAACAGCACCGCTGCGAAGATAAATCCCGCCGGAGAACTCTCCGCCATTCCCCGAAATCTATCTCGGCTTATCAGCAACCTCCGTTTCTGGTTCTGCAGCTTTAGAGAGCTGTGAAAATATTCGCCTGTAGCTTCCTTTCTGATATATCGTGATAGAAGAAAGCTTTTACGTCGTTTTATTTATAACTTTTTAAATCTTAAAATAAAAAATGTGACTTGTTATTTAGTAATTAAATTAATACATTATATTACGGGTTTGTTATTTGGACCGGTTTGATTACAAGCTATCGACTCCAGAAGCCATCTAATAATACTAATAATAATAAAAAAAGATAAACCAATGTTTATCAAATTTAAAACAAAAGTTCAAAATATATAGCATGGATCTCTGGGTTTGTGAGATAATGTCCAAAAGAGGGGAGATATTATCTTATATCTTCATATAAACACCACAAGAACAGATACGTGGTTCTTCTTCAACTGAACTCTCTGTCTGCCCCATCGCATAGATTTTTTTTTTTATTACAAGTGTTCGAAGACATAAACTTGGGAGGAGAGTGGTTCTCTATTACTTGATATGCTGTCTTAAACCATCACACTAGACCAGAAGAATCCAAAAACGAGAGAGAGAGAGAGAGAGAGAGAGAGAGGAGAGCACAGGCTAGAAAATGGAGAAAACCTCTGGATGGATGGTGGGTTTGTGAGAGAGAAGGCATAAAGCACTGAATAGAGTGTGATCTCTTATTGTCCAACGTCATCCAGAGAGAGAGCAGACAGACCTTAAGAAATTCTTGAACTCTGGCGTCTATGGTGTCTCAACATCAAGAGCTTATTCTGCAGGAGACATCATTGTAGGAGGAAAAACAAAGCGTTAGATTCAGTCACTACCACTTGCATCCTTAGATGCATCAATCATTTGGATAGGCAAAATATAGATGAAAGCGGAAGGAGGAAGTTGCTTCGTTCCCGATGGATCCGAAGTAAATGCTGACAAAAGAATCTTGATTTTAAACCCTAAACCTCCTCCAACTCCTAAGATCCCTAAAGACTTAAAAGGTGCGAGGTTCTTTTGGCAACATTTACCGATACCAGGACAAAACTTGAAAGTTCTCCGCAAACTGTATGGATAGGTCGGTAACTTGCACAATAAAAGGTGGAAGGGTTCTTTTGGAAAACACTCCTACTTAGAAAGGTAAAGTTTGAGGCAAGAGATCAGTTTCATTGATTACCTCTCACTGAGCTTCCAGAAGAAGTGACGTGCAAGAGAGAAGAGAAGATACTTCCTCCGGGGTCGGTTTTCCGACACCTTGCCATCTTATTCTCCCACATTTGTCAAGTAAGAAAACATACCTGTGCATAAACAACAGTTTGTGTAGCAAATCAGATTGGTAAAGTTAAAATGCATTCCAGTACTACTCTTAAAAACTGATGAAGTGGAGATTTTTTCTGTACCCAGTGAGAAGGTTCAGAATTCTAAGTTGTTTCCTAAAGTAATAATGGTTGCCAAATGAATAAGCATTCTGCGTCTGGAGAGCAGTGCTCTCGTTGTTCTTTGGGTTTCGCAAGACACGGAGAAGCAGATATTTGACAGGGCTCAAGCACAGCAGCCATTTGTCAATAAATGAAACCTAGGTTTGCACAATAAAGTTGATGAGAATTGGAAAAAGAGGCAACCGATCTTATATGTGTGTGTGGTAGCAATCTGACCAGAGAGTAAATTGAAAACAATGATGCAGGATCAGTACCTCATAAAAGTGAACATCTTTTGAATTGCTGAATGATTCAAGAAATGGTGTCCTCCAAGAGTCGATCATATCCTATCAAAGAAAATGAACAACCATGACACAGCAGCTAAAATTAGACAATTTCTTGTAGTTTATAGCTCGAGGAGTGAGAACACTGTAACTGTACAGATCGATATAACCTTAACAGACTATGCTCGGAGCGCCATGTGAGCAGGATATGCATAACATATTATCATGGAGTTTTGCAAATCGATTTCCAGATTAAAGGGTAAACAAGCCATTTTTTCATATCCATTCAAAACGTGATTAAGAACAGTAGAATAAGCTAAACCTTAGAGCTTGCTCGAAAAGATAGGCACACTAGTGATGCTTTAGGAACAGTTGAGCTTTCTGTTTGAACTTCATTGCTGTTTGACGTAACAGGCAACTTGAAAGTTTTGCCACTCGGGTAAGTCACTGCTAATACCGGGAATTTCATCGCTGCCACAGCAGGAA